CTCGCTGTTTCTAGAGCAGTGTCCCGGGGCATTCCCGAGCCCCGCGGGTGGTCCCAGAGAGCGTGAGGGGGGCTCGCTGTTTCTAGAGCAGAGTCCCAGGGCATTCCCGAGCCCCGCGGGTGGTCCCGGAGAGCGTGAGGGGGGACTCCAGGTGCCCTTCCCCACATGAGGACTGGTTTCAGTGGATGGTCAGGTGCATTTGCAAGGTACCGAATGTTGTATGTGCTGAGTGTAGCACCGTGGATGCTGGAGCCCAGGGATGGTGGTCTGCTGAATGCTGTGGTGTGGGTAGGCATGAGGAGTGCTTGCAGGGAAAGTGGGCTGTGGAGGGCCCACTGGGGTCAGGCACCTCTGCTTGTCTCGCTAACTTGGCTCCTTCTCTTGTCCCCATGCTCCCACCCTCTTCTGTCTTGTTTCCCACAAGGGAAGACCTGGGGTTCAGGTTCCTAGCTGAGCAGGTCAGCCATCACCCTCCCATCAGTGCATTTCACTCGGAAGGCCTCAACCAGGACTTCATCTTTCATGGCTCCATCTACCCGAAGCTCAAGTTCTGGGGCAAGAGCGTGGAGGCAGAGCCCCGTGGGACCATCACACTGGAGCTGTTGCAGTAAGTGGGGCATCCCAAACACGCACTCCTTATCAGAAGGGAAATCTACCACCGGGAAGTGGGAAGCTTTTCTCCCTGGCATATGCATGTCTGCTTGGCATGGAGGCAGTGGGCCCGCCTCGAGCGACCGCCACTCCAGCTGCGCGCTCTCCAGCAGATGCCTGGGTGGGGCTTCTTGTGGCTGGAATTTCAGACCCTTTGCCACGTGGTTTTTGTGTGTCGGGCACTTGGGTTAGTTAGCTCCGCCATAAAAATGGTCCAGGAGGGTTAGTGGCTTAAAACCACAAGCGCTGTTGCTCATGCTTCCAGGGTTGGGGGCTTGGAGCGGCACAGTGAGTGGTGCTGGCTCGGGGCAAGACAAGAGGCTGGATGTTGAACACACAGACACTCCCCTGTAACCACGCCCCTCCTGTGAGCTGCCCTGAAACTGCCATGGGTGCACACAAGCCCAGCATCGCCCCGGCCGTGCCGTGAGGTGCTTCCTTCGAGGACGTGACTGGAGAGCGTGGCTTTCTTTTATTGGTTGTTACTGTGTCTTGACATCTCGGTAGGAAGCTTGACTGAGCTCACAAGCAAAGAGGAAGGAAATTCAACCGAATGGTAAATTAGTAGCTGCTGTTCGGGGCTCAGAGAACCGTCTGCCCCTCGCCCAGCTCCCAGGCACTTAAAGCTGCCATCGGCCAGCGTTGGCTTCTGGGTCCCACGGGGCCCCTGACGTGCCTGTGCGTGCCCCACCCCCAGGCAGGATGAAGCCTACACCTGGACCAACCCCACCTGCTGCGTGCACAACGTGATCATTGGCAAGCTGTGGATTGAGCAGTACGGGACAGTGGAGATCCTGAACCACAGGTACCGGCTGCAGTCTCCAGGGCTGCGCAGGGCTCCCAGCGTGGTGACAGGCGAGCCGGGCCCATTCTGTGGGTGTTCCCACGCTGCAGCAGGTCATCTGCAGTGTGGCCGCGCCTGGCCCTGTGTCCCCAGCTTCCAGACCAGCCCTGCAGGACAGGGCTCCCCACGGGGTGGTGAGCGCAGGGACCGGGGCCGTGCTGTCACACGCCATGTTACTTGTGATTAATTTATTGTGACGTTTAAATGACCCTGAAGATCCGTGTGCTTGCCGGGTGAGCCTGTGACGGCTGTGTGCGGGTTCATCTGGTGTTCGGTTCACAGCGCTCTGTCGCTGGGTCCGGGCTGGTGGGCATCCATGGACAGCTTTATGGAGGTGCGACTTCCAGGCCCTGGAGCTCACCACGTCAGCACCTTGTGATCTTGTCAGCCCTGCACAGCCCATCTTTGAGCATCCCTGTCACCCCAGAACAGCCCTGGTGCCTGCTGTAGTGGTCCCCTCCCCCAAGCCCCGCCCACCTCTCCTCTGCCTCAGTCTCTGGGCAGGTCTGTCAGTGACAGCACCCGTGTCTGCCCTCCTCTAGGACTGGAGATAAGTGCGTGCTCCACTTCAAGTCGTGTGGGCTGTTCGGGAAGGAGCTGCACAAGGTGGAAGGACACATCCAGGACAAGAAGTAGGTGCTGCTGGTGCCGGCTCGGCTCGCTCCTCTGAGGCTGTCTCCCAGCGTGAGGGTGGGCGCGGGCCTGCAGTGCTGGCCTCTGGCAGAGCCCCTGTGGCCCCAGTGCCGCCCAGGGCATCACGAGAGCACTGCTTGCTTCTCTCCCCCAGGAAACGCACCCCCCACACTCTATTTGACACCACGATTGAACATCGTCACCTTTGGGAATCAGGCAGGAGTTCTAGTGGCCAGTCTGGAAAGATCTCTGGATTATTACTGTAGAAAACACGGGTGACAGTGATGTGGGGTTGGGCCAGTGGGTCTGGCAGGGGCAGGAGCCAGTGAGGGACAGCTGTTTATAAAACAACAGAATGAGGTCTGACAGGCACACAGCACGTTAAACGTCCAATGTGTTTAAATAGCGATCGGACGCTTCTTCAGCGTCTTAAGCTTCAAAGAATCGGCCCCTTTGGTCTCTGCCGCTGCTCCTTCTGGCTTCCACACCTTCGTGTTTCCTGCTCAGCTTCTTGGCCACTGGAGTTGTTCTAGGGCATGGGGGAGGCACCTTCGTCTTGTGTTTGTTCAGAGATGTTCCAAAACGAAGACCAGCCAGACCAAGACTCTGACGTCATGATCACAGCCAGGGTGCAGCACGTTTGCATGCATGGTCTGTAATTGCTGTTGATTTGGTTTCAAAAACTCCTCTCTGACTACAGCAAAAAGAAGCTCTTTATGATCTATGGCAAATGGACAGAGTGTCTGTGGGGTATAGATCCGGCAACCTACGAGGCCTTCAAGAAGCAAGAGAGGAGAGGCGATCACCTCAGAAAGACGAAGCCGGTGAGGACCCTGCTGGGGCGGGTTAGGGCCCAGGGCTGGGCAGGGGTGTCCGGGCCAGTGCTCAGAAATGAGCCCACATCAGTCCTAAGGAGGGCAAAACCCGGGCAGAGTGGATAAGGAAGTCAAGGTGTGTCTGTCCCAGGGATGGAGTCAGGATGCGTCCGTCCCGGGGAGGAAGTCAGGATGCGTCCGTCCCGGGGAGGGAGTCAGGGTGCGTCCGTCCCGGGGAGGGAGTCAGGGTGCGTCCGTCCCGGGGAGGGAGTCAGGGTGCGTCCGTCCCGGGGAGGGAGTCAGGGAGTGTCCGTCCCGGGGAGGGAGTCGGGGTGCGTCTGTCCCGGGGAGGGAGTCGGGGTGCGTCTATCACAGTCAGAGAGTCAGGGTGCGTCTGTCCAGGGAGGGAGTCAGGGAGCGTCTGTCATAGTGCCACTGTCTGTCTGGGTTCTGGAATTGCTGATGGAATTCATGTATTCACCCTGAGTTGATGGTAACTTTGGCTTTGGCGTTTCTTGGGGGTCAGTGTCTGCCCTCCCACACGTAGTGGTATCTGAGGGAACCTTGCTCAGCCCACTTCTTTTTGGAAGTTCCATGTTCTGCTCTCTTGATAAAGCTCCCCTGTCCCTCTACCTGACTTACCCTGGTTAAAACACTTTAGAATCAAGTGAGTGTCATTTCTGCTCAGTTCTTGGTACCACAGAGTACATTGAACAGTCATTGAGTGTCGGAAAGGACTTTTCTCCCACTGCTTTGGGATACTGATTGTCTTGAGATTGGAATACTCTGGAGCTTAGAACTGGAAGCGGCAGTTCCCAAGCTGTCGTATTTTTTCTAGCTAATTAGTTGGAACATAGCAAACCTGAGATGCTCAGTGTTTATTTAACAAGAGTGTACTCTGCAGGCATCCTGGTGTCCCTGTGGCTGTGACATTTTGTGTAAACTGTTAGACAACTTTTTGAACATGCTTTTTTATTTAAGAAAAAGTGAAGTTCCACTTAAGGGACCCTTCCGACACTTGCCTGGTGGCTTTGAAGGCTTTCGGTTTGGTGTTCTCTGGGGAACTGGAAACGACAGAGTGGCCGTGGGGTCTTATCCCAGACCAAGCAGCCCACAGCTGCACCAGCGGGCCCGCTGGAGTCGGGGAGACTCCCGAGTCTTGTTCTCCATGTTTTCTGTGTTCTCCCACAGCAGCCACATCTGGTACCACTCTCCTTCTCCAGTCCCATGGATCCTAAAGAAGTAACAGTGGGCTGTCTCTGTTGAACTGTGGGCCACGGCTGACATTCAGTCTAGAAACCTGCAGGTGTGGGCTCTGCCTTGGGTGAGGGCAGACACGTCCTCTCAGGGAGCCCTCCCAGCTGCAGATGTGTGCGGTGTGGGAGGGGCTGTGTGAGCGTGGGCCTTGCGTGCCATTTGAGGCCAGGCTGAGGTGTGGGCTGATGGCCCTCTGGCCCTCCCCGAAGCAAAGGCTGTGCTGCTGCTGGCATGCGGTCCACTCTTCAGGGCTCAGAGAATGACCCGTGCTTTGTGTCACCCGTGGACAGGATGTTAGCCACTTAAGGAGCAGGATGGACGGCTCTTCTCCTTAAACTGGTGACACACAGTGTCTCAAGGTGGTGGGATGGTATTTCTACCCCATTAGAAAAGACAGAGATGGTTCTCGTCTGCTTAGTGGCGTGGTAGCAGTCTGAGAAGGGCTTTGAAGATCACTCTCCCTCCCAGGGACTGATGCTGCTGGGCCCCCTGTGACCAGCTGGGCCCCCCATGGCTGTCCAGAGTCCCCTGTGATCATTCAGGGACCCCTGTGACCAGTGGGGCCCTCGTGACCAATGGCTCTGTTGCAGGAGGCCAGCTCTGAGAAGGTGGATGACGACGTGGCTGACAGTGTGCCAGACACACAAGAGACCGTGCAGGTCATCCCGGGCAGCCGGCTTCTCTGGAGAGTCAACACACGGCCCCCCAACTCGGCCCAGGTCCTGCCCCCACTCCTCAGCCCTGGGCGTCCGCCCGTCTGCAGGCCAGTCCTGCTGTGCCCCTCCCCTCCTGTGGGCGTGCTGCAGCACCCCTGCGAGTCCCTCTGGTGATTCTCTTTGTTCCTCTCTGCTCTGTGCAGTGGAGCGTTGGGTTCTGACCGAGGCCGGGGCCCCCCGTGCTCTGCCCGTGGGGAGGCTGTGTGAGCAGTGAGGGCAGACCCTGGCGGTCCATGCATGTGCTGTGGGAAGGCCCAGATCATCCAGGGACAGGCTGGGCTGCGGAGGCCTCTGGGGAATGGGGGTGCAGGAGGGGAGGGACCCCTGGGGAAGGTCCCCACAGGGAGGGGCTGGCATGCCTGGGCCACTGGAGGCCAAGGCATGGGGCTCTGGTGGCTCAAACGGTCCTTGGCTGTTCTTGGAGGATGGACTGTTGTTGGGGCAGGTGGGAGGCTGAGAGGTATGGGGCTGGCCTCGGAGGCAAAGGGTGAGGAGGGCAACGAGGGAGACTGTGAGATGGGGTTACAGGGGTGGGAGGCCGGGGGGAGCTGTGTGGGGTGGCCCCCACCATCCCCTGGACGTACCTGATGTCAGGTTTTTGCTGGCCTTGCATGTCGAGCAGACGGTTGGTGTGCAGGAGTAAGAGAGCGGGACTGAGCCTCCTGGGCCTGGGGGACGGAATGTCCCCTATGGCAGGGACCCACTGGGTGGAGGGGCTGCTAAGGCTACTGGAACGCCTCTGGGACAGGTGCACCCCTGGGAGGAAGGGGGCCTCCTGCCACGAGGGTTGCGAGGTGCCAGGCTCTGGTGGCTGGCCGACGTGCCTGCGTCTCAGCGTCCGCTCACTCTCCCGCCTGTGTCTGCAGATGTACAGTTTCACTAGCTTCACTGTGAGTCTCAACGAGCTGCAGGCGGGCATGGAGGCACTCCTCCCCCCAACAGACTGCCGCCTGCGCCCCGACATCCGTGGCATGGAGAACGGCCACATGGGTATGTGTGCTGCCCCACCCCCATACACACTGCTCACACCCTCGGCTGTCAGGAGGGTTTTAGAGCAGTGAGCCCACCTTCTCGGAGGTCACAGCCACTGGACACCAAGCCCATCGCCCAGCAGCTGCACACGTAGGTCTCTAGCCAGTGCCACTCAGCCCTCAGGCGTCTTAGGTCCCCAGCCTGTCGAAGACCGTCAGACCCCCTGCCAGTAAACGCCATGGAAGTTAATGATGGGAAAACTCTTCAGACTCGAAGCCCAGCTTTCCATTGCTGGCTCCAGCAGACCTGCGGCCCCAGTGTAGGACGACCTGCTGGTCATTGCCGTCCACACAGGCAGCTGTCCACACCATCCCTGTTGCCTGTGGGACTCTATGCGCTGCAGCAGGCCAGGCCGGGGGGTGCCTCCACCCGTTAACTGTCCCGCGGAGGAGCTCTGCACCCCTCACGGCCAGTGCCATAACAGTGAATGAGTTCACTGTCACTCTTGCTGCTCTGGCTGGGACGCATCCTGAGCCACTGTGGGCCCTGCCTCTAGCTGCCCGGAGCTGCACACTTTGGGGTCACCATGGGCAGTGTCCCGACCGCACAGCCGGCTCGGTGCCTTCCCTTGGCTCTAAGCACTTGCTACCGTCCACCCCCCAGCACTCTTGTGGAGCGTGGTGTCCCCTCCGTGGAGCCCTTGGTCACTCTTGGGCCCTTCGCCCTCACCGCTGCATTCGGTCTCTTGATGGAGTGGTTTGCCCTCCACAGTCTCCTGACAGTGACTTAAGCCCCAAGTGGCAGCTGTCCAAGCTGTTCTGAGTTTGGCCTCCTTTAACTGTTGCCTCCCTTTGACTGAGACACAGGCTTCCTTGTTAAGCTGGTTCCTTACCCTGAGGCCTGTCTACTTGGGCCCTAGATCTGGCAAGCCGAGAGAAAGAGCGCCTGGAAGAGAAGCAGAGGGAAGCCCAGAGGGAGCGAGCCAGAGAGGAGACCATGTGGCGGACAAGGTGAGGTGCCCTGGCAGACTGGGTCTGGGGACCAGGCCCACACGCCTGTCTCCCTGGGATGAGAAGCAGCAGCTTCATGGTTTCAGGGTGACCATGGCACTAGAAGCCCATCGTATGTCCTGTGTCAGCCCTGGTTACAAATGAGGAACCCTGTCTCAGAGCCTGAGCCTCAGAGCCCCAGCTGGGCAGGGCCAGTCCCGCAGGCGCCCCGTCACCACGCACTCAGCAGATTTGCGCCACACACCTCTTCTTAAGTAGGGCACATTTAAAAGGAAATGTAGCTGAACCAAGCCTCTAACTTAGGTACAGCTTCCAAAGCACGTGCTGGGCCCAGGAATGTGTGTGCTGACGGAAGCTACCTGAGGACCATGCTGGGTGGAACGCCCATGATTCCTCACGCTGCAGCCACCTCTCCTGTGCCACACATCGTATCACATCACAGCATGCCACAGCAGGTCACATGGCTCCGGAGGAACAAGGCTGAATCCCAGGTCCCTCTGTTCAGCCCCAACGTTCCTCACCATTCACTGATGGTGTCACTTTAGTGACTAGAAGAGGCTTCACCATGAAGATGTAGGGCTGTCACACTGCAACATGACATTTCTGCACAAGGGCATGCACACGGCTGGACACAACGTGGATGGCTGGACACACTAGGTGCATGTGGATGGCTGGACACGTGCATGGCTGGACATGTGTCTAGCTGCACACATACATGGCTGGACACACCTATACGGTGGGACACACATGTATGGCTGCTTGCAAGTGTATGGCTGGATGCACGTGTATGGCTGCACCTATGTGCGTGGCTGAACACCTACGACTGGATGCATGTGTATGACTGCACACGTACATGGCTGGGCGTGAGTACGGCTAGATGAGTATGTACAGTTGCACACGTGTGTGGCTGGGCATGTGTATGACTGGACATGTGTGTATGGCTGCATACGTGCATAGCTGGACACACCTGTATGGCTGGACACACGTATATGGCTGCACACATATACATGGCTGGGCATGCCATGACTCAGACTGGGCTAGTGTGCTAGAGGTATGACATGTCTCAACTCCTAAGAGCCTCAGTCTTTGTTTCTCAACCTTATTTTGTCTTTGTTTAATATGCAGAATATGAACATCCATTTAATAAGGATTTAGTCAATCAAGTACTGGGGGAGGGGAAAAGGGGAGAGAGAGACATGAGCCCTGGCGGTGCAGTAGTTAAGCAAAAGGTTAGTGGAAAGATGAGGCCATCTGCTTCCATGAAGACTGACAGCCTGGGAGACCCTGTGGGCAGTTCCACTCTGTTCTCTAGGGGCGCTGTGGGTCGGAATGGACTCCACGGCAGTGGGTGTGGTTTGGGCTCTGCTTCCGTGAAGACTGACAGCCTGGGAGACCCTGTGGGCAGTTCCACTCTGTCCTCTAGGGGCGTGTGGGTCGGAATCGACTTCATGGCAGTGGGTGTGGTTTGGGCTTTGCTTCTGTGAAGATTGACAGCCTTGGAGACCCTGTGGGCAGTTCCACTCTGTC